AGCAGCATCATCATCATCATCATCATCAGTATCATCATCAGCAGCATCATCATCCTCATCATCCTCATCATCTTCATCATCTTCATCATCGCCATCGTCGTCGCCGTCATCATCATCATGAGCAGCAGCAGCAGCAGCAGAATCACCAACAGCAGCCATCGTCGTCGCCGTCATCGTCATCGTCATCAGCATCATCATCATCATCAGCATCACCATCATCAACATAACCATGATCAGCATCATCATCATCATCATCATCATCATCATCATCATCAGCATTACCAAGATCATCATCATCATCATCATCATCATCATCATCATCATCATCATCATCATCATCATCATCACCATAATCAATGTCAGCCTCTGCAGCAGCATCATCATGATAAGCAGGATCATCACCATCACCATCACCATCACCATCACCATCACCATCACCATCATCATCATCATCATCATCAGCAGCATCATAATCATCATCATTATCGTCGTCCTCGCGGTGACACCGAAGATGGGCCTCACGAGGTGGCGGGATAGCGCATCATGCCCCGAAGCATGTGCGCGGACGAGGCGAGGCCAGGGAGCGCACTGAAAAAAAAGGGACATGAAGCCCGGGAGCTCTCATAAACCCCGCAATGATATCCACACCGCCCTGGCCCTCACACCCCCACTCGTAGACGCCCCCAAGCCTACTCACGAGAACGCCGCCCGAAGACCGCCCCAAAAAATTAGCCAGCCACATGTGAACCCTACCCGTACAGGTCAGGTTGTTGAAAAACACGACGGGGGCCCAGAATTTGAAGCATCTCTGCAATCAAGTAATCGCCAGCGGGGGTGTCCGATACCCCAGCGGCGATTGGACCAGCATGGGTAGGGTTGCCAGACATCGGGCGTCTCGACTTTGTTCGGGACGCGGGCCCCCGACCTCTGGACCACTCACCCGCGACCGGTTCTTCATCCTGAGTCGTTTTTTGACGGTACCCGAGCCCAGGTGAGGGCCTCGAGAGGCCGAAAATTATGAAAAGCCTCCGTCTCGATTACTTCGAGACGCCGAATGTCTAGGCACGCTGGTGGTCGCAGAAAAAAACACCTCATCCTCTCACTTCTCGCACCTTCAGGCCTTCGGGCTTGGGGGGGGTGCTCCACAACCGGGCGCGGATCGGGAAAAAGAGCAGCCCTCGCGGTGCCCCGGGGAAGGCCCAGGGAGGACCAATCCCGAGCGGAGCTCCTGGCCGGCCCTGTCCGCGTTGCCAGCGTTGCAGGCCTTGCCCGCGTCGCTGGCGATGCCGGCCCTGCTGGCCCCGCGCGGTCACCTCGAGTCTCTGAGGAACGGCGCATCCCGCGCCCTTCAATAATTTTAGGGATAACATGCCGAATAGTAGCACAAGGGCGGTAAACGCTCGGCAACGCTCGCAAACGAGAGCTTCAGAAAGGAAGCGCAAGAGAAAGGAGTGCAAAGGGGGCCGGAAGTCGGATCGAAGTTCCCTGAGGAACCAGTGGAGGATGCCGGGTTTCACAAGCAGCCCCTCTCCCCTCCGTCCCCCGCTCCCTCCCCGCCGCACTCCGTCTCGCCCGACCGGCCACGACTGGGACCGGGGGAGTCCCGCCCGCCCGCCGCTCCCGCCCCGCGCAAGGGGGTCGGGGGGCGGCCCGCGCCTCTGGCCGCCTGGACCTGCTCTGAGCCAGAGCGGCTGCGGCGGGACGGCGCCTCCTTCGTCGCCCTCCGCTTCTCCTTCCCGCTCCTCCTCCCCCTCCTCCTCCTCCTACACCTCCTGCTCCGCCGCCGCCGCCGCCTCCTCTTTCTCCTCCTTCCTCCGTCCTCCTTCCTCCTCCTCCTCCTCCTCCTCCTCCTCCTCCTCCTCCTTCTCCTCGTCTTCCTCCTCCGCCGCCTCCGCATCCATCCCACTTCCGTATAGAATAGTCCTCCGTGTCGCGCCCGCAGACGTGTTGGTAGGGCGGGCCGAGCGTTCCGCCCGAGCATTCCTCACCATTTCCGATTCCCAAACTTTGACTACCAGTTGCACGGATGAAGGCGAGGTCGTTTTCAAAATGGGGCTCGCCGCAGCGCCGCGCACTTTCGCCACAAAAGTTGGCCATAGCTTCAACAGTGGAGGGGGTCGTTTTCCACATGAGTCTCCCGCCTTAGAGCCGCGCGCATTCGCCCTGCAAGCCCGCAACAGCTACGGGGATGGAGTGCGGCTCCCCTTCCAAAGTGGGGCTCTCGCCAGATCGCCGCGCACACTCATCGTACAAAGCTTGCAGTTGCAAAGGTGACGAACGATTCCTTTTCAAGATGAGGGTTTCGCTTGAAAGCTCCTTGAATCGACATACCATAAACTTCAACACCTGTAATTGCAACAGCTGCGCGAATTGAGGGAGGGCGGCCGAAATAGAGTGCCCCAAGGCTCATGCAGCCATGAGAGGTGAAGGGCTTGTAAGGTTTTCAACGGCTCGTTGGGTCAACCCGATTATTGCAAAATCGTTGATGCGCCTTGGGTTTACACTGTCTTTGTGCACAAAAGCACCCCATCATCACCCCGCCCCACTCCCTGGACGGGATGGGGGGGCCAGGGCTGGGTGGGGTATTCGATTTGCGCCGCTATTGCCGGCCATCTTCGCACTCGGGTCTCGAAACTCTTGGGCCCAGCCCCAGACGGGGTAGGGGGGGGGCCAAGTAGAGTTCTTCCGCTTCCTCCCCCAGTTCCACTTCGATCCGACGACACGAGCAAAACTGCAACATCGTGAAAATCACGGCCAAAACCCCATCTTTCTGCGTCAATCCGCCGGCCCCCTTGTGGGGCCACCAGGCTGTAGGCCTAAGGTTCGCAGTTACCTGTACAAGTTGCAGCTTCCAGTTTCCACTGTTACATTTATGCTTCTTACTGCTTACTGTTCCTTGTTACAGTTCTGCTTCTTGCTGCTTCCTGTTCCTTGTTGATGGACCGCGCGAGGGGGGGAGGCCCAAAACGGGCAATTCTACCACGCCCTGAGCATGCTCTGAATTGCTGGGGCGGGTAAAATTGAAACTCCTCACGCAGATCGGCGGGGTCAGGGTCCAAAAACACAACGGGATTTGCCACATTTCTGAAATTCGGTGGCACCCCTCACGCAGATCGGCTGAGTCAGGGTCCAAAAACAGGATTTGCCACATTTCTGAAATCCGGCGGCACCCGTGACGCACATCCGTAGGGTCAGGGTCAAAAAACCAACAGGTCCCGACACTGCTTCACGGCGGCGCCCAGACCTCATGATTTAGCTTTTGCATCTCCCATTATCCGAGACAGGGGGCTGGCGGCATGGGGCGAAGCCCTGACGGATTTCAAGCTGGATCGATGTGTGAGGTCCCCGGAACCGAAACTGGGCGAAATGGCCGGTTATGGAAAAATTGCAGCGCCTGGATCTCAGGGCCATCCTCCTCCACCCGCGAATGTCCTCTATATATATATATATATATATATATATATACAAGTGGCACGTGTGTGCCCAGGCTCATACGAAGAAAAACTGAAAGGGCGTTTGAAGCAGGAAGACACCATGACTGCAGGAGGCTTCAGGAGGCCCCGGGAGACCCCAGGAGGCTCCAGGAGACCCCAAGAGCCTCCAGGAGGCCGCAGGAGGCCCCAGGAGGCCCCAGGAGGTTCCAGGAGGCCCCCAGGAGGCTCCGAGGCGGGGTCTGGGGTACCAGAAGGTACATCGGGGCTTGATTTTGGGAGGGTGTCTCAGGCGAAACCGCCATTCTCTGAGAATCGGAATCAAAATAATTGAAATTACCATGTGTTTTTGAAGGTTTTGTGTTAGAATGTTGAAATTCCCATGTGTTTGTGGACCCTGACGTCACGATCTGCGTGAGGGGTGCCACCGATTTTCTGAGTTTCGAGGATGTCCCTAGCGAAACGGCCAGAAAAATCGCGAACGCCCCGCGTACGCATCGATCGCCTCTGAGCTCTGCTCCCTCGGAAAGGTGCGTATGATTTTATATATATATATACATACATATACATATATGTCTATATATACACATGTATATATGTATATATACATGTATATGTATATAAATATATGTATATATGTATATATAAATACAGACATGTACATATATATATATATATATACATATAAAAATACATATATATATATATATATATATATATATATATATGTGTGTGTGCGCCCTCAGCCCTCAACTCAACTCCCTTCTTTTTCCCACATCAAGGTTTTGTGAGGTGCCTAGCCAAGGCACCACCGCGGGCGGCACCAGCACAGGGGCGGGCCCGTCGGACGGCAGCACGGCCCAGCCCCCCGCCGACAGCCCCAGGCCCCCCCGAGCCCACCGAGGGCCCACCGTAGCTCACCCACAGCAGCGCCTCACCAAGAGCCCGAGAGCACCAAGGACCCCCGGGGGGGCGCCCGGACCGAAACTGCACCTGGCCGAGGCCTGCCGACACGGGCGCGCCGCCCCGCGGAGACCCACTCGGGCCCCATGGCCACGAGGGCCACGCCACGCCTCCCTCGAGGGGTCATGGCCACACCCGGGAGAGTCCGTCCTGGCCGCCACGTGCCCCCCCCCCCCATTCGGACCAAGGCTCCACGCCGAGAAAGGTCCAAGGGCGAGGGGCAACGGACCGCCAAAGACAACCCCCCCCCTGGGCGGGGTCACGTTGTTCCATGCACTCCACTCTGGCCCTCCCGCCCCCTTACTTGCGCACAGACGAAGGGGTCGCCGCCCTCTGTGTGCAGGGCGACCGCCAGGTTCTTTGTCACTTGTGTTCAACAACGTGTTATCGATAGGCGGTCGCCCTGCTTAATTGACATCTGCCCAAAGTGTCTGGGCCAGTACTGCAAAACGCTGCTGCTGGGGGGCGTCAAACACGCAGTGCAGCAGTACTTTCACGCCCTCAGCGATATAGATTATCGCAATCTGCGCGTCTCGCCAGCGCCCTATCTGGAGGGTCGCTGGCATGTTCTGAAACAGACGGTAGACATGCGTGGCGCCCCCTCGCCTGAGGGAGTACGGGCGAAAGCCATGATGGCGAACTCCCATGCCGTCCAAGAGGCTGTCGGAGACCAGCCTGAAGTTGGGCACGGACCCGTGCAGCACCTGATCTCCTGGTTGCAGGTGGCCCAGCAAGTGTTCACAAAAACGAGCCACGCCTCGGTCTGCAATGACGACTGACTCTTCGACGTGCCGCCGCAGCCCGCTCTTTGTCATCGGCGAAAGGATCAACGCACTCGAGCGATCCAGCGAGACCTGGATCTGGCAGCGGCACAAGGTGACCATCTCTGTGGCCCTCAAGAAGCCGCTGGATCCGATGATCAGCCGCAGTGCAATGTCGCTGCGGCACCAGTACCTCGCAACACAGGCCATCGCTAGGAGAAGATTGAGCGGCAACGGTGGCACGCGACGCGGCAGCTCGATGCGCCGCCAAGCCCCGAACAAGTTCCAGGAGGCTGGCAAAATGCGACGGCGCCGAAGCAGAAACTGCAGCCCTGAGAGCGCATCTGCAGCTTCGTTGGCACCATGACCACCCGACCATGAAAGTCGAGATAGTCGGCGTTGGCGCTCATTCGCTCGCTTCTGAAGGCGAGCCACTGAGAAAAGTTCGCAACTGCAGCGCGGTACCTCTGAAGAGTCACTGGCTGAATCAGTGTGTGGGGAAGGAGCCCGACCTGCCGTCGAGCGTCTCTGCGGTCTTGCTGGCTGGCCAGGGCCACGAATCTCCGCGGGCGTCGGCTAACCCCGATCCTCTTCGTCACCGACCCCGCGCGAAGGAGCATCCGCTGGGTTGCGACCCGTCTCCGAATATCCTTATGTCGGCCTACACAAACTGGCCAGCACTAACACGCATATCCACATCACCACCACATTCAGCACATGCGAGGAGGACCCCCCTTCGCCACGACTCCGACACCGACTTTACTATCCATCCGATGCGCAAAACGAGCGCGAGGCGCCGGGCCTGCCGCAGACGCCACTGCAGCGCCCCCAGGCAGCTCCGCACCTCCAAGTCTGCGATGCGCGGGGGGCGGGCAGAGCGCCACGATGCCACAGTCCGCCACGCCCAGCGGGCTGCCGACACTGGGCGCCCGGGCCAGGCGAGCGGAAACATGCTCTCCAGAGCGTCGAGACGCACGTCACTCCCACGTGTCTCCGCCCTCCTCGCCAGCCCCTCGACCAGCACCACCGACGGGTCCATCACGGCGTCGCAACTCAGCAGATCCCGCTGTCTGACCAGGACGCCCTTGCCCCTGCTGTCGCACTCGACCTCGCCCTCGGCCGCCGTCTGCTCCCCGTCATCGTGCCCGCGGAGGTCGCTCTCCACGACCGCGTCGCCCTCCGCGATGGCGCAGGCGCCCCCAGTGAACCTCATGGTCTCCACGGTCGGCACCTCCTGGAGGCACCCCGCGAACACGGCCCAGTGCGCCATCAGCCAGGTGAGCACGCCGCACTGGAAGGAGTTGCCCAGGAGGGCGCAGAGGCACTGCTCGAGGCCCTCGAGGTCTTTCCTCGCCCTCGCAGGCCGCGCCGTCACCGCGCGGCGCCGGGGGAAGTCGAGCAGGAGCTCACGCTCGATGGGCGTCTGGCACCCGCAACTCCCCACTGGGCTCCACCATGCAGTTGGCCTCCATGTACTGGTAGGAAGGGTAGCAGTGCTCGCCCGCCTGCTATCGCTTGAGCACGCCCGCGCCACACTGCTCGACGCGCGTGGGAGCCGAGCCAGGCACGCGACGCGTCACGCACCTCAGGAAGGCGGGGGGCCGCCCGCCCTCGCGACCACCGGCAGGCCAGCGCACCTCAGGGCGCAACCATCTGGCATGAGACTGGGGCCCCCCGAGGCACCACGCGCACCCCCCCCGCGCCCTGGCCTCATCTCGGCGCGCTGCCATGGCACCATCACGCGCTGGTCAACCCAGTAGACCCGGTCGCGGCGGCAATGGGAGAGCACAGCGCCGTCTATGAACACGGGCCCCAGCCCAGCCCGGATGACGTCGCATCGAGCGGCTCCTCACCCATCGACGCGACGTTCTCGATGATCCTGAATATGCGGCAGTCCTCGCCCACAACATCCAAGGCCAGGCGCGCGACACGGTGGATCTCGAAGAACAGGCGAAAGCGGCTGCCGGCAAGCCCCTTCCGACCAGCCCGCACAATCGACAAGTCGGTACAAGGGGGGCCCGCGGTCACCGGCACCCACTTGGCGACGGGCGCTCGCTCTCTCACCCGCTCCAAGCACGCGCGGGCGATGTTGGCGACGTCGCCGAGCTCCATCACGTCGGGCCAGCTGTAGCGCACGACCCGCGCCGCCTCCTCGTCAATCTCGCTCGTGGCAAAGACCGCAAAGACCGCCACCGACAAGCCCAAGAGGTCCAAGGCCCTGCGGCCTCCTCCGATCCCGTCAAAGAGCGACAGGAGGATGCCCCCACCATTTAGACGAGTCGAATGGCCACGCTGAGCTGCGCGAGCCGCCGCCACGCCGCGCGGCAGGAGCCTGACTGAGCGGCGCACCGCCCCTCGCCATGGGCTCGCACCCCGATGATGGGCACCCGCAAGTCGCAACGCGCCAAGGGCATGAGGCACAACGCGCTCACGAGCTCACGTCGAACTGCGTCGGGAAGAGCCCCCCCGCCGCGCACGCGCACCAAAAACTTCCAGAACTCACTAAAGCAGGTCATGGTCTCGCGACGGCACAGCATCATCCGCACCCAGCGCCCTGCCAGCACCTGCATCCACTTCTGCGTGACACGCGGCCGCCTCAGGGCATGGAGCGTCAGTGCGACCACCTTTCGGCGGAACTCGCCTGGCGGCCCGATCGCGCCCAGCTCGCCGTTCACGAAGTGACCCAGCGCGGTCGCCCTGGACTCTCGGCTCTCTGACCACGGCCTTGGCCTCGCTCACGGGGACGCCGACTGCCCCATGCCGCCCCAGGGCCGCCCGCGTGGCCTCGGGCCGCCCCGCCAGCTTGAGCATCTCCTCTCCGCGGCGGGACCGACCTCCAGCATGTCCAGAATGTCGATGTACACCTGCCACACGAGCCAACATTGGTTCTCGGTCCGAACGGGCCGCGCCTCGCCATCTGACTCAGGGGCGCACATCTCGCCCCAGAGCTTGATGACGTCGTCGCCGTGGCACTCCTGACTCTCTCGGCAGCGGCAGAGCAGCCGACATCCAGTCAGCTCTGGGACCATATCCACCAGCTGTTGCTGAGACCGCAGCCACATCCCGAACTTCGCAAGAACCTCGCGACGGGCCCCGTCCACCTTCAGCCGGAAAGGGTTACCCCGCACCGACGCCTCGAGCTCCAGGCGCTGGCTGCCACGTCCGATGTAGACGCCACACCACCCCGCCAGCGGCGGCGAGCCCACCCGGCCACGCCGCGGCCGCCCCGCTGACGCAGCTGGCCCCTGGCCGCTCTGAAGTCTGCGGGGGCTGCTGAACTCGATCGGGCTGGAGACGACAGCGGGCCCACCTGGCACCGACACGTCGTCTCGCACGTCCTCGCAAACAAGCCCTGGGTCGGCTGGCCCACCTGGCCGCGCGCGACTCCGAGGGGGCGGCCGAATGTCGGGCGACGCCGCAGCTGAGACGGCGGCGGGCCCACCTGGCACCAACGCGCCGCATCGACCAAGAACAGGTACGTCGCGACGAAGCTCACGGTCTGCAGGGAGAGCTGGCACATCAGCCCGCCCGCGCCGCAAGAGATATCGGTGAACATGTCGGATCACCCCCGTCGCCGAGACCCAGCCCATCGGGGCCACCGTGGAAGTAGTCTGATCCCTCGCCTGACAGCCCCAGCGCCTTGCGCCGAACTGGAAGCGACAAGGCGAAGTAGGGCCTCCAGGCTGGCGGGAGGCGGTAGACGTAGAAGCAGCACTTGAGGCCCTCCGACAACACGGCGAGAACCTCCTCTGACCTGAGCGCCACACTGCGCCACTTCTCTGACGACGGAAGCAGCGGCATGCCTCCCTGAATCACCTTCTGAATCGCGTTCGAAGGGATCATGTTCATGACGAGCCTCTGGGCGCCCTCGCCGCGCTTGCAGCCACTCTTATGCACGCCGAACATGCCCCCCAATATCTCCTTGCCTTTGAAGACAGCCACCTCCTTCAAGCTGATGGGCTCGAGGATCCCCCTCTCGACCAGCACCCCGGCGATGCGGCCCCACTCCGAGGCGGGCGCCCAGACTCGGGGAGCCCTCGGCATCACCTCCACGTCGTCCTCCGCCTGCAGGACGCGGCTCGGGCTCAGCAGCGCCCGGCGCACCCGGCCCTCGCAGACCCTGAGCACGTCCACCGACGAAGCCGCTGACACAGGGGGGGGCGCCTCGACATGCCGCTCCAGGTTCAAGGGCTCGGACAGGTAGACCTCTCCCCCTGTGTAGCTGACGGCGGGGGCCTTCATCTCGGCCCCCCAACCGACCGTCGGCAAGTCGCCGCCGCGCTGATCCAGGAAGACCTGTACCTCCTCAGCAAGAAGCCGCGCGGCGGATGTCCGCCGCGCCGCGGGTCTCCTCGCGCTCGGCGCCAGACGGGGAGCACGCCCGCACTGCGCGTAGTGGAAATTGAGACCCGCGATGACCAGGGAGAGCCAGTCGTTCAGCTCCGGCCAAGCCTGCACCAGATTTCTCACCAGCACCTCCACGGCGCAACACAAGCACTTCGCGCACTTCACCAGGCGGAAGAGGAAGAAGGTTACATCTTCTCCGCCTGGACGGCCGCGCGGGAAAAACAACCGCCTCGAGCTCGTCCGTCTCGCTCTCGAGCTCCACCTGATTCACGCACACATCCTCATCACAACATAGAGCTGGCTGATGCGGGTACAAGATATCACGAAACTGGCCCCCCAAGGCATGCAAGCTGCTGACTGTCACCTCGCGATCTCCTGGGAAATCGAAATGTTCCTGATCCTGCATCCCACAATGGCCCCCCCCCGCCACGCCTGCCAACTCTGACGCGAGGCGCGTCGGCGCCGGCGGGCCGCCGCGCGCCGGCTGCGCCGTCGGGCGCGCTGGCGCCACGGGGCAAAGCAGGGGGCGCCGCCTCGCCGCCCCTGCCAGCGCCGTCGCCCAGCACGCGGTCGCGGGGGGGGGCAAGCACGTCAGCACCGCCGTTAGACACACTGACGCGCTCGGCCCCTGCGAGGCTGCAGGCGCCCAACCACGCCTCCTCTCCAGCCTCCGTCACGGCCGACTCCCAGCTATCGTCCGTGTCCGAACTCACCTCTCCAGAGAAGCCGGCTTCCTCCTTCTCGCCGGTGGCGTCGAGCTCCTCGCTCACGCCCTCTTGCCCTTGGAGCCCTTCTTGCCGCCCGTGGGCCCCTTGGACTCCTTCTCCGACCTGCCCTTGCCCTTCG